AGTTAATATCCTAAAATAGCTAATTTCATTATATAGTCAGCTGGATGGTCAAGACAGTTAAGCTATTGACTTACAAATCTGGAGACTGGAATCAAATCTAGAAGAGCCACCTTGGAGGTTTTTTTGTGGGGGAGAGATCCAGCTATTTCTCTTGCTGTCCGACCATCCCCGCTCTGGGCCTGGCCAAGAATACATTCATATATATAAACATATTTATTTATTTAATGTATTTATTTATTATTATTGCATTGATATAGATAGAGAGTGCTTCCTTAATGTACTTATATACTTTATAAGAAGAAATATTGTTGTTCTCTAAATTAACATGTTAAATTTATTTTTTGTGAAAGTTTATATCAATTATTATAATATTTTTGATGGTTTTGTGTTAAAAAGGTTATACAAAATGCTAATTTTACACAATGAATAATAGTTTTGGTATGTTTGAATGTCACTATTTAAAACAATTCATTTCTGGCAATCAGATTTGGATTCGAACAATGAGCACGTTTCTTTTTTTCCCCCTCCTGTTACTGTTATTGTTTTGGTGAAAATAAATACAGGAAAAAGCTTCCAATTTAAAGATGACAATTGGCTTTTCAAATAAAAAAAATATTTTCTCGACTCTTTTAAAGAATAAATGGTTGCTAATTATATTTTTAAAAGGTGATATATATTATTTAATTTTCTTATTTGTACTTCGAACATACGGTCAAACTTTGATTTAACACCATCGTTTGTTTGGTTTGTATACAGAAATGTGACTCGTGGGTGATTTTTTTAAGGGGAGGATTTTATATAGGTAACTGGCCACTATTTACGTGTTACAAATGTGAAGAAAATCCACTAAACTCCATGTGGTTAGCCTGCTAGTGAAGTGCAAAGTGACCGACGATCAGTGTTTGGTGGTTTTATCTACTCGCTCACTGGTGGACTCTATCATTTGTTCTCCTCCAAAATTTGCACTGAGAGGATGGCAATTAATTAACTATACAGTGTTTGAGCCATTTTGATTCCCCATGATGGAGGGTGGAGGTCATACTGCACTTTCAGAAAACTTTTTCCCTTTTAACTACAGAAGAGAGCCCAGAAGGGGTTACAAAAATGTTCGTAAATGTTAATCATATTCACACTGGTTAATCAGGTAATGTGAGTTGCATTTTTTATTCCTTTAATTACATGTACAATAGTTCACGGGCCTCCCTAATGTCGAAGAAATGACTTAAAAAAGTTCTGCAAGTGTTTTCTAATTGATAGTTTAGTAAGCAAGCAGCAGCAGCAGATCTGGAAGATCCCAAAGAGGAGTAACTCAAAAGTATTTAAGTGCTTTTTATTACTTTTTACTAGTATCTTTTATTAACATGTGCAAGATGATTATATTGTGGATAGTTTAATAAATCATATTTGGCATCATTAACAAGGGCTTTAGCTCCCATAGTACCTGGTGAATATGTCTTGGTTTACAAGAGAATATCGCTAAAAATGTCCACATAGACAGTGCATTGACCTCTTTCTGCATTATATATAATGATATACTTTTCTAAACAACCCCCTTCTTAAAGCATATACAAAACTAATGAATGGCACCTAAAGTATCTCAAACAGTAAAAGTTCTATACAATGAGGGTATACTAGTATTTACAATTTGGTGATGGCAATGCCATCACCAAATCGTAATGCAAATTTGTAATGCAAAATTATACATTTAGTAATTCACAGATATGATATGGCTTTTTATTTTAGTGCTAGTTATGGACTGGTGACATCTGTTGCGGCTGTCAGTCCAAAGAAAGTTTTTGTGGTATGAAATAATGCCCATATTTTCAAAAATTCATATAATATATTATTATGGTATACAGGATGCATGGTAAATTTCTTATACACTCATATAACTCACAAACACAGCTAGCTAGTTTTGACGGTTATGTATAGTTATAGTAAAGTGACTATGTGCTACAAGACGAGACTATTTGTGTAAAATTGCTTATTTTCTCCCTTCTCAAAAATGATTTGAAATAAAGAAAAGAGTCAATTACAAAGTTACAGAGTATGACCAATTTAGTACAAAAGAACACCCTGCAAATGCGAAGAGCATGAATAGAAAACATGAGTACACATCACACACGGATTGTAATATGTATATTTCTCGTGTTCATTTGCCTGTTCTCATTCATTTCTAATGTGTTTATTTAAAACTTGTATTTCTCATTTTCCTACGTCTTTGTGCTGCATTCATTACTGTGTGTCGTATGTTGTGCATCATTCACAGATATCAGTGTATATCTTTACTATGGACTCTATATACTCACTATATATGTATTGTACATAAATACAAAAGATACTTTATATAATTTACTTTATATAATTATAACAGAAAGTGACACAATGAGACTTAGAAACACACTTATTTACTTCCAGCAGTAGGTTTAATACAATAAAAGTGCTTTGGCCTATTCACAGGTCGTCCTCAATTAGAATGTACAGAAATGGAACAAACTAACAAATCAAATATGAAAAGTGCATTTTAAAATTAAAAGAAAACAAAATACAAATTACAAATTTAAATGTAAAAATTAACAGAAAACTCATCCAGCACTTTCTACCAAAACTCTCGACAGTTAGATCTCTGATTAGAAAAGCGCAGATGCACTGTACTAGATGTTATGGACACAACTAAGGAATTAGAATACATCAATAAACTTGCCAAACGGCACAGTTATCCGACAACAACAATACGTAATCTAATTTCAGCATATAATCGGACAAGAAATGCATCTTTGCGACAGAATACTGTAAGGAGGTGCATGTTAAATTACTTTTCCATGCTCAAAAAAACATTCACAAGGTGGTCATTGGGAGTAACAACATAAAAGTAGCAAATAAATACAATTTTACAATTTTTATTATACTCAGAAATGATGAACAAAAAGAAAACTGTTCCATCACATCAGGAGTCTACTCAATCCCACTAGAAGATCAGCATTTTTGTCAAAAATGCCGATCTTCTAGTGGTCTAGATCTACAGTACGTGGGGACTACTGAAGGAACCCAAAAGCAATTTTAATGTTAAGTGGTCTGCTTTAGGTTTTAGCAGTCTGAAGTATAAATAAATGCAGATCAATTTGTATTCTATTAAGATGTTTGATTTCAGACTGTTAAAAACCCGAAGCTAGCCATTTAGCGTAGCCGAAAATGTTTGTTTTGTTAAATTTTATTAAACGGTTTTGCTGGAAATGATGTGGAAGCATGTCTTATTATTAGGTTCTAGCACATCATATAGAGAATTGAATAAACCAAACCAATAATACTTATTATTAAATGTTTCTAGTTTTACTTCGGGTCGTCTTTGGCCGAAGACAACTCAAAGCAATGCCAAAAAAATTTTACGAATATTTTTGGTTTCCTATTTAAATGTTTTCTGAAAGTAAATGCTTTTATTTGCCATTTATTGCTGCCGTGCTGCTAAGTTTCGTACTCTTCCGTGAAAAGAATTTACCAATTTTTAAAGTATGGAATCATGAGAATTGTTTAACTAAATTTTTAGTTTTCCATTTTTTTTTAAATATAATTAATATTGTTAATAAACAAGAGTAATCAGTCTTTAATATCTAGCAAGAGAAAAAATACCAAATAAACGTTTTTGACTAATTTAAGCAGCCATTATTGGGTTTTGTACAATCTAGAACATTAAATTGCTTTGAAATTAAAAATTTTGGTAACATTTTAGTCAGCGAAATTTTAGGTTGCATTTTATTGACTGACATTTATGATGAGTTGATTATCTGGCAATGATTCAAAACCTTCATATTAAATAATGTGTACGTACAGGATTTTCCAAAATGAACGCTGCCATTTTAAATTATTGTAATTTAACTTTGCGACATACGTTAAAACATTAGAAAACCATTAAAGTCTCACATCTGTCCATTACAATTTTTCAACGAGTGAAACTCATGTCACGTGACACACACTCGACCAATACTCAAATTTTTTCTACACTTGCTATTCGTCCTCACTCTTCCGCGAGTAATCTGCGAGAGCCACAATTCTGTGACTCCCATAGATTACTCACATCGCACAACAAGAGCGATTCCAATTTTGTAAACTGCAGAATGCAAATCATCTCTGTTGCAGAGTCACCGTTTTCATGTATGGTCTTCATAGAGGCAGTGGACGAGATGTTTGAATGCAGGTGGGAGACGAAACTCGGACAGTTATTCTATTGATTGGAGTACATCGCATGCTTCTTGGATAATAATTAGCATAATTTAAAACGATAGAATTCATTCTGGACCTTATATACAAATAGCGGTACAGCCAATTCTATTGGTCGAATGTTTCCGGGACGCAAAACTTACACGACCCCAAGTGTTTTTTGTTTGTCAACAATAATATATAATCTTTTAAATTAAAAGTAAACGGCAGGGTTTTATTTTTATTTTCCTGTTTGAAAGATGATTTAATGTGCAATTCTACGGACGATTTCAAATATTTTTATATTAAAAAAAAAGTCTTATTTCAATCTCATTTATTCCCAAAATAATAGGAGAATTTATAAAAATTTAAAAAATGCAAACAAATTTTAACTTTTAAAACATCCTCGTACGTGACTTATTTTAAAAGTTTTGACGTTTTGCCAATTGCAATCTTTTAAAAAAATAATGTTAACAAGTTAACTTGTCCAAAATTATTTTGAAGGCAATTTTAGTGGAAAGAAAGTTGTTTTCATTTACTTTCCAAATTAGTTATTTGCTCGAAAGTAAAATATTGCTAGTAATTTAATTTGTTACAATTAAAATTTCAAAAATATTATTGTATTAAACTTGTATCTTCTACCAGATCTTTGTTTAAATAAAGCTCCAAAAACCTTACATATATTTCGATTATTTTATGGAAGTGTAACCTGTTAAATATTTATTTTAAAAGATTTTGGAACTTTTATTTAATGTTCTTGATAAAAAAAAATAGGAGAAAATAAATAAATTTTTATATTTTTTCAGATAAACGAACACTTTGCCATCGATCTTATTGCCGAAACACCTCCCATTCCGGTGAAGGATAATCACACTTGGTGTAATGGCGGCGGAGGACCTCTAGGACATCCCAAGGTTTATATAAATTTGGTACGTACCATATGAGCCGAGATATATTTTAGTATAAGCTCAGAAAACTATTTTAGTTTAAGAAATCTCGAATCGTTATTACTTATACCGGAAAATGCATAGATATTTATAAGCCGCAAATATCCGAAGGTTAAAAGTAGGTAAATTTATAAATAAAACGGTTCCTATTCACGTGAATTGTATTATATGTAGTTTTAATTATAAATATAAACATATTTTTACTCAGAGAAAGACTTAGGACTTTCTGAAAATGTTAAAATGTGTAATTTAATGACTGAGGAAGGTCATTTTTGTATTTTTAGATTTGAAAATACAGGTTCAAATAACTTTTAGAAAAGTAATTTTTCATTAATTTGTTGTAGTTCGGTAGTGGCCAAGGGGATAAAACCAGTATTTACTGGATTTACTCATTTGTCCTTGAGTTTAATTACTTCTAAAAAAAAACAATATTAAATGTTAACATCTCAAAAAAACACATGAAAGAACTTACAAATTAAATATTTTTTTCACATTTTAGAAATTTTGTTTTGCTCTTTCTGCTCCAAAAGCACCAATTGACCAGGTTCAACATGGGTTTGGCCAGGCCCACAAGGGACGGCCGGGAAGTGAGGAATGTGGATTCGTATACAGTCGATCCCCCCTATAACACTGTTGATTATTCCGTTTTATATGATTTCCATGTTGTACGAGTCACTTAGATTTTACAAATACATTAGCTGTTCACAGCCCAGCACATGTATTTTTACAATATACATGTACTGGGCTGTGAACAGCTAACGTATTTGTAAAATCTAAGTGACTCGTACAACATGGAATTCATATAAAACGGAATAATCAACAGTGTTATAGGGGGGTTGACTGTATCTGGGATGGACCACCCATGAAATCTTTCTAGGGTTCTCTTTCTGGATTTGATTCTGAATGCCCAGAGTGGCAGACTAATGACTTAACAAACTCAGCCATTTGGCCCACACTCTAGGGTTGTTTAATGCTTTATTTCTGCAAATTTTTTTATTTTCTGGAGAGTCCTAGATGCTCTTTTCTGCCATTCTTTTCTGTTGTACACTATGGATCTCCAGTCACTTGTTGTAGGATCTGGAGATACGCCTTTACCACATCTCTCCGTCATTTTTGTAGGCAACCTCAAGATCTCTTTCCCAGTCTGAAATTGCCCTTTTGGGTCTTCACTGGTCCATTTTTAAGACAAATCTTGACCATTATAGCCTGTCGGTCCTAATAACATTCTGTTTGTTTATAATTCTAAAATAAATTAAAAAAAAGAAAATCACAGGCTTAGGTTTTATTGTGAAGAGCTCAAAAGTATTGAAATTTTTTATAATGAATATTTTGCGGGTGTCCAAACCTTGTCACGATAGGAACCATATACCATGCATCAGAAATAGATGAGAGTCGCAACCTCTATTTTATATATAATCTATATACTATGCATATATGTTTAGAGGAATAGCACTAAAGTCAGATTCCTACTCCTGGCTTATTTTGTGAATGAAATGTTGCAAACTAGCATTAAGTGATGTAAATACTTCACAAACTTGAAGCTTATAAAAAGAAATCGTATAAGTAAGGGAGCCGCAATAATAGTCTAGAAGAACCGTAGGTGGCTCGCATGTTCAGTTTAGCCTCAATGGGTATATTTATTCCATTAAAACATGTTTTAAATCTTACATTTTGTTAGTTTTTTAAGGGTTTTATTATTATTTTTAAAATTATGAATTACACTTTACATCAGATTTATGGAATTGTAAACACAAAATGTTCAATATGACTTCTGAATTAATGTTTTATTTATATTTTTGTAGCCAGTTACAACAAAATATCATTATCAGTTCAGTTAAACAATTCACATTAAACTATAATAATGAAATTAATTTAATATAAATCATTAAAGTTTCGTGTTAATGATATTATTCTAAATTATCTAATCGTTAAGGCTATCAATGTGACACCTGTAATGCCGAATTATTATAATGATTGAATTCGGTGGTTGATTATGTTTATAATTTCATTTTCACTTCGAATCTGCAGATGTTTATAAGCTCTAATTTCAAATACGTTAAAATTACAGGCCTTCCAAGAAGAATATTACTATTTTAAATTATTGTAATTATGTTAATAATTATCCAATAATGTTGCTACTTACATTAAAACATTGGAAAACTGTTCAAGTTTCACATTTTCCCATTACGCATGCCTCTTGTTGCACGGCATGCATTTAACCAATACTCAAATCCTTTCTACAATCTCTATGGCACATCTGTCGTCACTCCTCCCACGGCAGCTATAATTCCGTGGCCCGTGCAGATTATTCTTGTTGCATGAAGACAAGTGATTTCGACTATGTGAATTACAGAACACTAAACATATTCTCTGTTGTGTTGCCATTTTTGTTTACGGCACTTCCTGGAGATAGTAGACAACAAGGTATTTGAATACAGGTGGAAGACTAAACTCAGATGGTTGGTAGGTGTACATAGCATACTTCTCAAATAATAATTAACATATTTACAGTAATTTAAAATGGTAGCATTGATTTTGGAAGACTATATTAAGTAAATTTTATAAATTTAGCTACAGTTATACCACCGTAATTAATATTTTGATGATAATTCTGAAATGCCAACTAAATTTAATTCTTCAACTTGCAGTTCTGCTTTTTTGGATATCAAAACATAACGCTTTACCAAAATCCTAGTACTTCTTTGCTGTCCAGCTCATTCTTAAGGGTACTGTGGGCTGGAAAGTCTTTTATTTTTAAGCTTCCAAAACACTTATAACTGCATACGAATTATAAATTAAATAATGAATTAATTTTTTTTTTATTACTGTAATCTTTAATGTTTATTATTTAAATTGAATGGGGGGTTAAGGTGACAAGGATACATATAAGAATGTAATTTGAAACAACCATTCTATGTGAGCAAAAAACTTAAATATAACAGTCCCGAACATTTTCCGATAAAGCTATCCATTGAGAACAAAGAACAATAATATACGATTCTAAAGTTAAACAACATTCCGAATCAACGCAAACAATCAACCTGGCTTCCGTCCAATTATTTTAGTTTTGAATGAGAATTTTTAAATGTATATAGAAAAAGTTTCATAAAAAATCAAATTACTAGGTTATCATATGATTTTTAATTTAAATCAATGATGAGCTTTAATTAAAAAGTTCAAGATCAGTGTAACTTCTTTGATAAGGAAGAGATTGGGCATCGATGCTATTAAATTTCGATGATTAAAGATCAAGAGGTTGACAGGATACAGGGGGGGGTTACGTATCATATCTCGAGTAGGGTCGGACTTAACTTTTGCTCCTTATTGGCTTTTACAGTTTCTTAAAATACTTGATATTTATCACGTTAACACATTGACTTTTTAGACAAGTGAGACATACGATCTAATTTTTTGTGTCCGTTTATAGATATTGCTTCTTACTCATCACCCGTGCAGGTCGGACCCATCCATAATGAGCATACTCTTAGTTAAACTACTAATAATGTGCAGGTGCTTCTTATTAATCACTCATTCGAGTCCGTACGTAAAAAACTAATCTATAAAACTAAGATTTTAATTATTAAACATAAACTGCATTATCAAATGACTCGATCGAGATTATCTCTACTAATCATGTTTGTTATCGGTCTTTGCTAGAAAATTTTTATATTAGTCATAACACTGATAAATAAAGAGTAAACACGAGCAACTGGCAAAATTCGGATGTAGTTAATTAACAAGATAAAGCCATAAAATAATCAGCGATAAGAAATTATGAAATAAAATTTTATCAGATTTTAAGTAATGTAATCGTCAACGGAAAATATTTTTCACATGTCGAGAATATTTATTTAAATATTTTATATTTGATACATTTGATGTGTAAAAGCCTTTTAAGATTCTGTTTATGTTCGGTTACAAATGTTATTACTTCTCTGTTAATTTTCCAAGTAAATGCAGTTACGTGTAGCCTTACGTTTGTTAAATTTCTTATTTGTTACTCAGAAAGTTTATTTTTAGTGTCAATATTTTGTAGAAATGTTTATATAAGTATATTAATATTATATATACAGGGCATTCACTTTAACATTTATCCAGGCCAAAAGAGACGTTTCCATCATTGCACGAATATGCATTGCTTATGCAATCACGAAAGTGTAATTACTTCACAGCAGGGTTTGTTACTGTAAGGCATTATAGTCGACTGGCCTAATGTGCATAATGTTGGCCTTTATAAAGCTGTCGGCATTATGTGACTCCTCAAGATCAAATTTTTAATTTGAACATTGTTTTTAAGATTGGACAATTGACATATTTCTGTTGAAACTACTGCACAGTTTACACATGTACCTTTCTCAAATTAATTAATTTATTTTACGAATATTGAAGCAAAACTAATGAACCATCTGCCTGTACTCGTGCAATGCTGAGAAGAACTGTTACACCTGGACAAATGTTAAAGTGAACACCTTGTATATGTAACTATTAAGTTTTTAACTCCACATTTGTGACTGAGACAGGCTTCATCTCATCTCTCTCAGATCCTGATAATGATCACTGTCATTACATTCTATTCTAGCAGCATGAAATTTATCAAAATATATTAGAAATTAGTACAGAAATGCTCCACTATAGCACTTTTGGCATTGCAAGCAACAAAAAAGCATTTTCCTTTTGTGTAAACTTGCATATTTCGGCTAAGTTCCGGGTGTAAAAGTGGACGTGACTGTCGAACTTAGGCAATAATAAATGAATCATATACAAGTTGTAAATATTATTATTTTTTTTTAATGGCTGATCCGTTAATAACGACCAATCAGCATGTTTTTCTGTAAATAGATAATAAAATATTATTGTTGTGTTTATGAAATGGAGTTTAGTAGATAAATATTTATGTTTAATTGCCATATTTGCAGCATTCTTTCTTGCGCTACTTTAAATAAATAAACTAATTAAAACTTTAAAGTATTATTTTGAATGTATATTCTTAAAAAAGTATTCTTTTGGGCTTTTATATTTATTTATAAATGTGAATAAACATCATCAAAACAATATATCAACTTGGAAATGCAGCAGTATTTAGTTTAGGTGCACGAAACATAAATTTCCAGCATTAAGTTGTATATTTATTACCTCGGGTAATTAATTATTGTAAGTAGAACTGGGTTAATTTAATTAGTTCAGTTTTAACTCTGTGATTTTAATTGTAATTGTTATTTAGTGTTATGAATAAGTATTTAAAATTGATCATAAATCTTCAGTAAGAGACCCTTCCAGTGTATTTTAGGATTAACATTCCTTAGGATCTATGCAGGGGGGATTCGAAAATCACCATAAATAGAAAATGGGTTTATCTTATTTTGCGGTAACTTATAAGTAATAGAATATGTTCAGTGCAAATGTCATTTAACTGAACGCATGTAAGAATGCTTGTTTTTCACTTGGCAAACTTGCGTTAACACATAAAAACATTACTCGTATTACATGTTGTTAAATTCAAATATTCTTCTGTTTGCCACCTTTGTTTTCTGGTTCTAAACAAGATCAATAGATTCTTTTACTAAATTTATACAAATTAATTACATAAAACAAAGGAAACATATTTTATTTTTGTGTTTATGTACAGTGTTTAACATATTCAGACTATTAAACTTCACACCAAATGAATAAACATTATAATTTCTGGAGGAAAGAACAGAAATTCTGTACTTGTTTTAATTAAAAAAAAAAAAAAAGAACTCTCTCCAACTATTCATTTGATTTTTGTTTCATTTCTTTCAAATCCAGTTATGTGAGTGTGTGTTCTGAAACAACTTTTCACTTCATGCAGTGCATTCCAAAAATGTAATCATTTTTAATTCAAATACTTTGATTACACTGAACATATTCACGTATACATCATAAGTGTGTCCTTTCGGGTGGTCCATGATTAGTATTGATACTTAAGTTATCCTATAAAGATCATAAATATTTGTTTATTTCTATCCCAGAGCACTAAAACAGCATTTTTTTATGCACATCACCGAGCCCATAATGGAGCAGCTGAGTGGCTAACGACAGGTTGCAACGGTCAAACTGTAGTTAAAGCATGAAAATTTGAGGCTCGACCCAGATTTTTTTTCAATACAAGCGTCACCTCAACACTTGTGCTTCCAATACAAGCATCCTCTAGCACCCATGCTTCTAATATAGGCATCGATCGACTCGTAGAATTGAGATGATGCTCATACTGTCAGAANACTACAAAGAAACAACATTCTCTAAGACATTCTTTTTTTTAATCCATAAACTTGTAGATGCCCTAAAATTACTTCAAATTGTCCCGTATTATTGTTTTAAAATATATATATTTTAAAAAGATTTGTTTTAATACATACATCCATTTTGTAGTTATATACAATTAAATTAATATATACAATTAACATATGTCTTAATAATTAATATATTCAATTTCAATTTTGCCTGACAATAACATTAAGTTGTTGAACATTATGATAAACTTTATAAACTTCTGGTTTTTATACTTTATCACTTCAATTAAAATTAATTAATGTCAAAAGTCAGTCTTCTACTTTATTTGTGAACTATTACATATATTGATAATAGGCACCATTTAAATGTTTACCATATATTAATGCAGATTACCCGTAGGATACTATGTCTAAAAGGCAATTTGAAAAATGTGCAAGTTATACAATGGAGTCGATTATATGCTGATTTTTAAACTGAAAGTACAGACTCATGTCTATGGAACAGCTATTGCTTGAAAGGTAGTGTGTATGGTGGAGCAGGTTATGTAAAGGTTTTGTTTCTGTTCTAGCAAATTTCTGTGAGTTATATACCATTATGGGTTATATACATAAAAACACAGTACCTAATAATACATATGCAGAGTGATTCTAAGTAATTGATATCAAGTTTTTAATTTTTTCTAGTTTTAAAATTTGCAAATTTGAAATTGTGTGGCATTCTAAATTTAAAAAACAATGGATTAAAAGTCAATCACCAAATAACAATGTAAGTGTTAAGTTAAAATTTAATGAGAAAATTATTGTTATAATTACCTTAACAATTCACCACTTTTGGTGGGGAATATTAATACGGTCTGTTGGCATCTTTGGGGCGTTTCAGCTGCACTTTGAGGCGCTTCATCCCTATTTGAAACCCATTCATGGCTTGTATAGCAGCTTGGGCACTAGCTGGGTTGTCAAAACTTACAAACCCTATTAATGTAAAATGAAATATAATTATAGTTTTACTTAGCTTATTAATCAATAATTCTGTTGAATCAGTAATTTTTTAAAATAATTTATTAAATATGTTTGATATATCTTTAATATATATTGTAAATCAATAGATTCAATTCATTATTAAATGTAAAAAAAATTTAAAACAATGTAAAATTAAATATCTTTGTCTATAATGAGCAACATTACATCATCCTGTACATAAACAATTTATCAAATATCTGCAATAAAAAAATAACAATTATTAAAGTGCCCATTAAATCATAAAAAATAAGAAAGATTTTGATATATGCAAGTACATGTAGAAGTCTTTCAATACTTGAGATTTAAGATAAAAGATTAAAAAAAATTCCATACATACCAAAACTGTGCTAAAAAATGACACCGTATGGAAGTATTTTTTCGGCACGTGAAACTATTTTAATGTAGCTATTCTGGTGCATTTAAATAGCTTTGTTTACTTGCTGACTCCACCTAAAAATGGCTGACATTGTTTTAATATACTCGCTCGTACACTAACCTATATACAGTTCTAAGCAGGGGACATTCGGGAGTGCTATAATTTGCGCCAGTTTAAATTCAACGTCACAAAAATGTTGTTTTGAATTTGATGAATCAAATACCTTGAGACTCCTTTTATTTACATCATAAAAAAGGGTGCCAGACTTTTTAAATCATCATAGATGAGCGGTTAATGACCTAAAAACATAGAACTGCTTTACTGGCTCTTGTTAACTTGCCAGACCCGAAAGCGTCGCAATAAGTGCGAAGACTTAATTTAGCTCATGCCCACCGAAATTACCAAATATTCTTTTAATTTCTTGCATTTTCATTGATTGGACAATCTCAAGAAGTTAAGTTTTCTTGCTAGTTTTCAAGTGTATGTTGCAGTTTCTTGTGTAATATTTTGATTTAATGTTATATAAAGTGTTTTATTAGTATTATATAAGTAATTTTTTTAAAAAAATAATGTGTTGGATACATTTAAAATAACTAATTTGTTGTACAAACAGTGTTTCAGACCTTTGGGGTATGTACTTGAGGAGATATAAGAATATATTGTGTGTTCCAGATCAGTAAAGCTACTAAACTGCGGGTTATTTTTGTTTAAAAGACTGTTCGAAAGGGGTTGAGGATACAATTTTACATTTGCTCTGTCTTAAAATTTCAATTACAAACTTGCACTCGCCTATGAAGCCAACGCTGCTCCATAGGTGAAATGTAGGTGATGTTGAGTGGTTGTTGCTCCACAGGTGTAACCTAGGTAATGTGGAGCAGCTGTTGCTTCACAGGTGCAATGTAGATGCTGTGAAGCAGCTGTTGACATGTTATATTACAAGAAAATATTGTATTTAAAGTTGGATAGACATTTTTACTTTAATCAATAAGTGTAGCAACTTGTAGAAAAGTTAGTGCGAGTAATAAGATCCAAGCCTGGTTAGATAGAGGCTAACAGTGCCATTTGGCGCAGGCCTCAGACACAGAGGAGGCCCTAAAATTTAATCTCATGTAAAAAACTGACTTGAATTTTCTTTTGTGAATGATGTAAAACTTTGTTCTTATTTTTATATATATATATTTATGATCTGATAGGAGTGGGATCTCATATCTGTGAATGGCTCTACCCCATACCACCAAATGATATTCTCTAAAGGATATTAAAGCAGAGTGATCGATAGGTAGTAATTTATATGTTAGTTTAGAGAGGTCGACTCGAAATTACATTCGAACTTGGATTTAACGCCACCGTTTGTTTGGCCAAAAGTCAAATCTGAAATTGGCATTTAAGTTAGCACCAATTTTAGAAGCAAACAAATGGTACGGTGGCACTAAACCGAAGTATTTCGAACAATAAACGTTGTACGTAATAACGAAGTCTGTGCACGAGTTTATCACCAAATCACGTGGCTTTTAATGCTGTTTGCACGTTTAGTCTGTTTTATTCACGAGTACTAGTCGACGATTTAACGGGGTGGCGTCATTCACGAGGGTGCTATATCGAGGTTTGACTACGAACGAAGCAGCAGCTGTAGCTTCCTTATCTGCTCATTTCCGTTTGTTTGTTTGTTTGTATACGGCAACGCGACACGTGGGCGATCTGCCAAAGTGGGGTGCCTCCCGAGAGGATTTCCTACGGGAAACTGACCCCTATTTAGGTGTTACTAACGTGAAGAAAACCCGGAAAACTCCACCATTTGCCAACCGCGAACTGGCCGAATACCATTGTTTGGTGGTTTTTTCTTATTCGTTTGGCCGTTGGGGCTTTAATTTCCGTTCGTAAAGGCTCAGAAAACTTCTTGGTAAACTGACTTTTGGGTGGCCCTGTATAGTGTACATAAATCCCGCCTTGGGTAAATTACATTGGCGCAGCGGAAAGAGCATTTATTCTGAAAAAAATCCGGCAGAGTTGCGTAACTTTCCCGGCTGTTATGAGATTTTTATTAAGAAATAAGTTTTAAATTATTAATCATAATGAATATAATTGCGTAGGCATCATTAAACACCAAGATTTAATAGCACCAATGCCCTTTATACGCGTGTTACAGTGTCAAATTTCGTTAATTCATTCTGAGATATTAAACGAAATAGGTGTTTGTGTGTTGTGTACGCGTGTGCTTGCATACAACACACAAACACAAGGACACCAAACCACCACACACCACCGTGAAAGTAAAACCTAAAAGTCTTTTATCCTACTTTATCGAGTAGAAAAATTCCCGTGTTTTTTCTCCGTCCCTTGAGGGATTTTCCCGTTCGTATCTAAAAATATATATATAAATTCCCTACCTCTTTCTATTATTATTATTATTATTTTTAAATTCCCAATTCAATTTTTGATATCGGTTCTTTCTTACTCGAAATATTCATCTCTATCGACGTAATATCTTTCTCTCTTCCATTTTATTATATCGATATTTTTAGTTTTGTGGAAATGAAATAAGGTTAATACGATTTTGGATCGAAGAATTTTGTATGCATTACTTACTTTTTTTCCGATTTCGAATCTTAAAAAGATCGACATCGTCGTAATGGCACCCCATTAGTTTAATCATACGGGACGATAAAAACACGTGGAATGACCACAGCTTTCTTGGTGCACGTCCGTGGGAGGCCATCTGTATGTTTCTCCCTTATTTTTCGATTTTTATTATTATTCTGGATGACGTCTAATTAGTTTAACTCGGAACCACCGAACGCTGGTCGCGGGTTCACGCCTCGTCAAGGGCTGGCCGCGTGTTTTTCGGGTTTTCTTCGTGTCTGATCCTAAACGGAGGCCGGATTTCTCTATAAAAAGTCCTCTGGTTTGGCATCCTCCCTTGACAGATGACTTGTGTGTTGCATTGTTTTATCCGATCTATCCTATCCTGTTCTTTACTCGTCTTCGTTAGGAAAGCTCGATATTGTATTGCTAGTCCTCTTCAAGCTGTAAGGACATTATCTATTGAGTCTTTAGAAAGTGGCACGGAGTGGGTTGAATCTGTATGGAATGGATAGTCCTTACATACTGGCACAGTTTGGTTTGTCTTTTACAGAGGGGCACAGAGCGAGCAGAGTCCTTAGTGACACAGAGCGAGCAGAGTCCTTAGTGACACAGAGTGGGTAGAATCCTTACAGAGAGGCACAGAGTGGGTAGAATCCTTACAGAGAGGCACAGAGTGGGTAGAATCCTTACAGAGTGGCACAGAATGGGTAGAATCCTTACAGAGTGGAACAGAGTGGATAGAATCCTTACATAGTGGCACAGAGAGGACTCTGTAGAGTCCATTTATCCATTTCTGAAAGAATATTCAGTTCTTCTGTGTTTATTAGTCGTAAGACGTTAAAATTATATAAATCTTAAGACAGTTTCTTTGAATATTTGATTATTTAATGCAAGTTTTGAAGTATTCAATAGAAATAAATTGACACCGATTTAACGAGAAGCAAATCAACATTATCTACTTAAAATCTCATGAATATTTTCGATTTTAACGAGCAAAGGCAAAGCTAAAAGCGGCACTTTTAAAAAATGAATAATCCGTTTAAAAATTCAAATTAGAAAATAAATATTCATTAATTATCCAATCTTTCATTCAGTTCTTTTCCCTCCCATTTTTACGTCGCTTGTGTTGATAATTCCGAGCTTTTATATACAATCGAACCCCGCTAAAGCGTCGCGTTATATCGAATACTCCTCTTGTGAGTAGACCTCGTTATTGTGTAGCGTTCGTATTGTTCGAGGTTCTTCGATTCGGCGCCAGTTTCTCGGAGGTCGGAAGTATCGCTCTACGTTAAACTGGGTTCGGTAGCGGCAGAACTTTCGATGGCACCGTGCCAGCTCTCGGAATTAAAAATAAACTAAAATATTTACTTATTTATTATATAAATACTTCCCCCCTCTTACAACGAATTTACGTGCAATATAGCGAGAAATAAATCACTCGTTTTTTTTTAATTTACGGGAAGTATTTCGACATATAAATGCCGAAGAGCCAGTTCCTTTTGGCCCAGTCTTAACCCACATACAGGGTGGTCCAAAAGTCAGTTAATCAGCTAAACTGCTGCCGGTTTTATGAAAGTAAACTCATTTACGGTTAGTATTGGCGAGTGTAACCGGAACGGGGGATAAGGTTAACTGACTTTTGGGCCACCCTGTATTAGACTTTCATACAGATAAGTTATTAAAGCAAGAAGTCCAATATTCTAGTTGGGGGGAGGTACTGTGAATGGCGGTGCGACGCCGTGTTTTTTTGGAGGTGGACCATTCGAAGTTTTTCGAGTCAAAAAGTATAGAAAATTCTATTAAGTCCTGCCTTTTTTGGAGGGGTCGCGCCCGACCGAGGTGTGTTTTTCCGGTTTTCTTTACGTGTCCGACAACTAAACTGGGACCGCTTTCCCCGTAGAAAGTCCTTCACGAGGCACCCCTCCCGACGTGGCACGTTGCACCCACGTGCTACTTTGCCCCGTCCCACCAAACCGATCCAATTCAATCCCACCGGTGACCGACCAAACGGACGAATCTACCGAACACTACCGTCGTGGGTTCGCGCTTCGCCGACCCCGCTTGGAATCTTCCGCATTATCTTCACGTATATAGCGTCTAAACATGGCTTTGGGAGCTTCTAGTAGTAAGTGGCTCGCTTAGCGCGTGCCACCCTGAAGCATACTCGAGTTTTCCGCAGAAATTCTGTAATTTCCATCCCATGCAACAATTAATTAAGTGAAGTTAACTTCTTCCGGGGAGGGGGATGAAATCCAATTTAAAGTCGTCGTTTCTGCGACTGACGTGGAGACAGTGGCTAAAGTTACTTTCTTATTAGAGCATTAGCTCTTTAGAGAATAGACATTAATGATTAGAACTAGAAGGGATTCAGACCACGTCCCACGTGAATCGGCTTCTTTAATATTTAATCAAGTAATCACTTCCATTACGGTCCAGATCCCGTAGGGGTTGCTACGACCTTTTCTTACCCCTGTTTTGAGAGCAATGTGTATAATTTCCCCCGAAATATGCACGTGGAAAAATGGGGTGCGCCTTATACGCCGGCAAATACAAAAAAGTTCTCTGTTATATCAAAATCCATTGTTCTCGGTAGGGTTTTTTAGTTCGACAGAACAAAGCCGGATGATACATTGTCTCTACCACTTTCACATTTGTTTTGTCGGGGTCATCTATAATACTCGTTTATCCGTGTTCGAAGTCGTTTATCCACATCGGCTCCCGACACTTCTATAATGATGATGGATTTAGAAAAGGTCCCGTGTTATTGATTTTACTCTAGTTATGTTAGAACGGAACAATGGGCGATAGAGATTTCTAAAGCATCGGAAAAGAACACGCCGAGGCCGTGTTAATCCATCCTGTCAACTGTTTTTTTGGTGTGGAAGTTGTCTTCGGAGGATGGTTTTGATCGATGGCCACGCTAAAACCGTTTAGCTAACTCGAGTGCTCTAACAGTTCACTCCGTTTGTTTCTTTTTAATGCGTTTTACTTACCTCTACCTACCTCGATATAGCGACTGCGTGATGTTTTAGTTCACGTTGTGTCTAATTACCTTCACGCTCTGTCGCTATATGGAGGTAGGTAGGCTGTTTTCTTCATGGAAGGAGGTAGGTCGTTACAAGGAGGTAGGTGGGTGGCTTTATAGAGGGAGGTAGGTTGGTAAATAGATAAGGACGGCTTCTCTACATGAGAACACAATAGCCACAGCGTATTGTGTAATTACACGGAGAAGCTGTAAATGACAGTCATTAATGGGCTTTTTCCTTGATTTTTTTCCCTTTATACTACACCTTCTTGTGTATAACATGTAAGATGTGAACCGTCGACTTTCAACCAATTAGTTTCTTTTGTCCAGATTGACACGGGTTGACTCGAAAGTCTCTATTTATAACAGACGGTTCGGCTCGTTTTATTACTCAATTACAGGGTATGACGTACGCGGGAGCCACGTACGTCATTTCCTCTCACTTGTGTTACGAGGCAGCGTAACACTTGGGCCATCTGCCATGGGGACGTACAGTACAACCCGGGAGGACTTTGCGAGATACTGGGCGTTAGACTGGCGAAGAAAACCAGAAAAACTCCTCGTGACCAGTCGGTTGCGAACCCTCGACTAGTGTAGTATGGTTTTTATCCATTCGACTCCTTAGATTTTTGGATATAAGATTAAGTATTAGTAAAATAAATAAATAAAATGTCGAGTAAAGCGAGGTGTTGGTTGATCCATACGTGGAACACTCGAGGAACAAGTATCTGATGTGTCGAGTGTTTGCACCCGCGGCAAGTAGGTGTTTATTTTCGAACGGTTTCGATTTCTAGTCGAATCTGATCAATGGCGACGTTTGTTCGAGGGAGGGGGAGGAAACGGAACACGAAACGCTGTTTATATTTGCTAAATTTATATTTAATCAAGTGGCAGGACAAATATTAAATATAAACTGTGTCCTGCGTGTAAAATTTAGCAGATTAAAACTAATTTTCGAGGAAATTCGGACTCGGAGGGCTTCGAAACGTCCAGAAGTGTAAAATATTTGGGGGGTCTTTTCTGTGTGTCGGGGGACACGACTTTGTTTACCCTCTTCGAAGCTCAATAACTTCCCGTCCCCTTTGTCGAAAATCTCTGAAATTTGGCAGGGAGGTTTGCGTGTTATGGACGTCGATGCCGTTAAATTTTGGTGGTCAAAGGTCCAGTGGGTGGGAAGATACAGTGGGCTCGCGTGAGGTATCTCGAGTGGGTCAGACGAAGAAGTGTTGCGGATCGGTTAACCGACTTTTGATCCAACCCGTATATACCGAACTGCGTATCGTCGTACAGCTTTAATTTAACTGTATTGACGTTTTCATTAACGATAGTAAACTGTGAGTAAAGTTGTGTAAAATTTACGATTCCGTTGGAAATAAAATTGTAAGTGACGTTATAAATTTTATATTCGTTGGGTTTAAAGCGTGACTGTTAGAAATCTTCGCCTCTCATACATTTTTCATGGCGCTGTAGACGGGAACACGAGACTCGATCGCCTCTTGTGTTTAAAGGGCGACTTTTTTTTATATTGGGAGGAAGCTTTTGAATTAAACGCATTAAAAGTTAAATAATGATCGAGCTTTAGGAACCGGATGACGTAGTTCCGAAAGTGTTTTCGGTATCCAAAGCAACGGGGGGAACTGGCGTGGCACGGCACGTTCGGCTTCACACTAGTGTCTTAAAGTTCCTCTGT